GTGATCATAATCCATACTACATCACATTAATAGGATTCAGATTTGGCTGAATCTTGAAATTTGGATTTGCTATCTCGTATCTTTATGGAATGGCATGTGGAAATTGTAATAATTACAGTTCAAACTTAGAAAAAGAATCTGAACAATTTCTTCTTTAATATAAAACAGAACAGAAGATGATACAGAAACACTAGCATTGATTCCAGGTTTATTCATTTAATTATATAATTTTATCCTCCTGAGACCCCACCCATTCATTTATGTCCATTGTGGTGGACATTTTATTTTTGCATCTTTTCACTGATGTAAGGAAACATATTGATTCCTGTTGTACACTAAAGAGGACATGCTGTGAAATTAAAAATAAAAATAAATTTGAAAAAATCTAAATTGTAAGATGTCTTATTTCCTCCAAAGACATAGAAAGTCACAAATAACCTAAAATTGAAGGACACTTTTTTCCTTGGGTCTCAGGAGGATAATCCTCATTTAATTATACAATTTATACACATTATTTTTTCTGTGAGATTTTTTTCTGGGCTATTTTCAGATATACTTCATATCTATATTTGGAATAATTATTCACATGAGCAAACCGTTAACAATTTATGCACTTAAGCGGTGATATTCGAATAAAAGCCTGCACCAAGAACTGAATGTGACAAATGTATGCACAGCTACAGTAGGAACCCAAAAGGATTAGATGTCACTGCAATTACCCTCTGCCTCCACCAGGTGGCTCAATGTCAAACTTTGACAGGGGTGTAGTTTTTAATCATTTGAATCAGTTTATCAAACTGTATCAGTCTATACTATGAAGGACTGTTTTTCCTTTTCCAGTTTTTCTGTAAGAAACCATGAGGACTTCACCCCTGCTCCATTACATGCCATCAGAAATACAGAATATCTTTAAATAGGCTGTTATTCAAGATATAACATCGCTGATGTTTGCTCTTTGCAGTCTATAGCTATTTATTCTCATATTAATAGAAAACATGTTGTTATTGTGCTGTGACATTACCCAGGGCTGTAACTAATCACATGAACAATGCCCTATGACTTACACTGTTTTATGGAATTGCCAAAATATTGGTAACTGCAGTCCATGTTGCTGAATAAAATGAAAGAATTACTCTAACATATCTGTATAGACAGAATTAAAAATTTAATTGTAGTAGTAGTTTCAGAAAGAAGAGAACTGGGTGGCAGCAGATATAGTTAAATTTAGATACCAGGCTCCTGCTGTCACAGACTATTTTGGCAGTGTGTTTGGGATTCGCTGACAGGTACAGTACTATTCGGGCCTCCTGCTCAGCCGAGAAGGCAGAGTCAGAGGCCATCTTGTGAGGTGAACCATGCCGTGTTTACTTACAGCTTCTTTGCCTGCCTAGCATTCACAAATAGATTCCCCGGCCTGCCTAAGGGGCTGGCTCACGTGTGGGCAACCATGACGAGGCTCACATATGAAACAAATCATGCCACGTACATATAAGGACCTGTGCGAATAAGGTGACTTTATGCGCAGCTTTCCAGAGGATGTGAAGAAAAATGCCCCAACACTGACAGGTGAAGTGAATAACATTGATTATCTCATTACAATGGCACCTGTCAAGGGCGCCATTGTATATTAGGCAAATAAAAACAGTCAGTTCTTGTAGTTGTAACCAGAAAAACTGAGCAAGTGTAAGGATCAGAGTGAATCTGACAAGGACAGTGTTTTGATGGTCAGACGGCTGGATCACAGCGGCTGGCTCAATAAGTTGTGCTTGTGGCTCCCTGTTAACCCCTCTGTTGTGTGTGTTTGAATCCTGCCTCCTCTGTTTTTGTATTTTGTTCCCTAGAGTTTCATTGGTATCAGTTTTCCTAGTTCCTGTGATTTTGTGGTTTGTTTTCCGTTTCGGTTTCTTGCTTTGTGCATTGGTTGTGTTTTACCGGTCTTTCTTATTTCCCCAGTATTAGATTCTGTTTCTGTCAGTTAGTTTCACCTGTTGCCTGTCTTCAGCGTCGGTCCTTGTGTGTTCTCCCTGATTGGTTAATTGTTTCATGTTTCACTCCTGCTGTGTCGTTACCTGCTGTTTCTGTATTTAAGTCCCTGCCTTAGTTCAGATCCCCAGTGGTTCATTATATGAATGTCTGTATGTCTGTGATGTTGTATGTTAGTTGTGTTATTTGTACCCTGCCTACCTGCTCCTTGTTGCACTAATCCATTTGTAGTTGGTCATTGTTATCCCTCTTTATAGTTTTGACCCCTCGTGGTCCATTTTGTTTTGTAGTATTCCCTGTGTTTTCAGTTTTGTGAATAAACCGCTGTGTTCCCTGAGCCGCTAGTGGTTCGTTCACCCAGCCTCCACCATGCCACGCCCTCATGCCACGCCCTCAAGCCACGCCCTCAAGCCACGCCCTCATGCCAGAACCACCCGGGTTCATGACAATTACAGACTTATTGAGTGTGTCAGCGTTATGAAAAAGGTGCATAATACAGTAACTGGTATTCACTATGTATATACCTCTATGTACAGGGATGCTAACAGAGGACCTACTGTACATCTCACTCGATGTGAGGAAAGGAGATGTTGCCTATTGGATACTCATAGCTCAAAAGAATCCAATCCTAGTGGGACAGATAGGCAATCAGAAATAAGACAACTGCCTGAACTCATCCTGCCTGGCAAAATAGCTCAAATCCATGGTTTGGACTCTTGGAACACTACAACATATTGGCCCCAATGTGAAGGTTAGAAGTTGAAGTAGAAATTTTAAGACATGCACTATGCTTAGGACACTATCAAAGGTTTTATATATTTATAAATACTGCATGTGAGATTTCAAACCCTTAACCATAACTACTACCTCCATATTGTTAAGGGCTGTCATGTCCCTTGTGTCACTTCATATTCAGGAGTTCTTTGAGATTGCTGTCCATTGTAACACTGGCTTGTGAGCCAATACAGTCTAGATCATGGCTGTCAATCTCCATTCCTGGTGGGCCGGAGCCCTGTGTAGTTTAGTTCTTTCCCTGTTCTATCACAACTGATTCAGCTTAAGAGCTGTGTGTTAATTAGCACAAGGAGTTGAATCAGGTGGGTTAAATGAGGGGAAACCCAAAAGTGTGCAGGGCTCCGGCCCCCCCAGGACTGGAGTCTGACACCCCTGGTCTAGATAGTCATATTTAACCTGCTCAACATCTCACATACTCTTTGCTATGCTAACCTGCAGTGGATGAGGACTACTAGCTGTAGGTTAATTGCTGTTATCTGATTTAACAGGACTTAAGGCAGCCCCAAAACAGATATTTCCCATTTAAAGCACTTATAGTCAGTTCATCTCAAACAAGTCATGTGGAATCTGCCAACTAATGTCAAGCTACCAAAGCAAACTAAGATTCCCTTCACAGATTGTTCATCCAGACTTTCGGTCCAGTTGCTAACAGGATCAGTCACAAATACAAGGACTGAGAGAACAAAGAGAAATGTTTCCGAAACTGATACTGTGATATATTTCTGAAATTTGTTCTTCTGTGTATCCCAGTGGATCATCTGTCATTCTGTATTAAAACAGTCCTGCGGGGCATTGACAAGCAGACAAATCTCCAAGGTAGCTGAGCTCACACAAGAGCACAAGACCTGGCTTTAACCCTTCCAAGATGTTATCTGAGAAGCACATATGCACCACATGTGCTCACTTGTCTTTCTCTAAATTCATCTTGGTTTGCTAATTGAAACATGTTCAGGGCATTTGGAATTCTGCATACGGACACATCAACAACCATTGAAGGGTGATATTTATTTGAGCTTCCTTTGAAGATAAAGGGGAACCTGAGCTGCATGCACCAACAACTGTTCAATTTCTTGAACACTGTAACTTTCTGTCAACTCTTATAGGGTTATGTTATGCTGTAGAACATAGAGAGAGGGGAGAGCACGTTAGTGTTGTTGTTGTTGTTGCTGTTGTTGTTGTTGTTGTTGTGTTTCCCCTCCACTTCCAGGTTGCAAAGGAGGAGATCTGCCAGTGGATTACATGCTAACGATATGGGCTGAGTTTCCCGTATATCACTGACCCGGCTGCACATTTGACAGCAAGGAGCCTCCTCATGCTGTCATCTTTGCAGCTGCTGCTCTGCTTTTGTACTGGTGATTTTAACTTTAACTGAAGGGATGCTCGAACATGATGCAGATACTCACCCACACTGCCTTAAGGATGTGCGCGCACCTGTATACTCCTCATAAGAATATTTTTGTTTAAACACCCATTTTGTTTCATTCATCGCTCTGGACTTACTCTTCTGCAACTCAGTCTCCTCAGACTCATGTTACTAGGGATCTACTTTTGCTCCCCAGCAACAGGTTTCACATTTTTTGCAGTACTTGCAGTACTTTTATTCCAGGCATTAATTCGGTTCACAGCAAACCGGAGCTAGTTTAGCTGCTGTATCACTTCACAAATTGTCTTTTACTGAACACACATTAAAATTCTGCCAGTATTGACTGTGACTATTGTTTAACATTTTCACCTCTTATCATGATTAGCTACCTGTGAATTATCTGCTTATATAATGCATCAGGCTTAAGCTCCTGATGTAGTGTTAGCACATGATCTATGTCAGAAAAGATACTTTGAGCTAGGACAGGATTTGTGAACTACCATTTCCAGTTAAAATAACATGGACTTCACTTAAGCACCAAGTTTTTGCTGTTTACTGATTGGTCAGTCTCCTATAATCATGCAGGTGTCACTTATGTTAATGAGAAACAGCTGCGTGAGTCTTTCAAGGAAACAAGAAGAACTGAACAGGGCTTTATCAGTTTTAAAGTAGTTTGTAAGACCTGACGTAGCTCAAAGTGTCCTCCCTGACATGCATTAGGTGGTAACCCTATCCTGATGCTAGTTAACTTATACGCTATGCCGACCTCATTGGCCCTGGTAGTAGTTACCACCATGCTGACCTTCATCAGTCAAGTTTGCTTTTTCCTCTAACCCTATGCTCTCAAGCTTTTACTAACCTCCAGTGCAAGCTCCTCCATCTCAAACTCTTTTTGTGCTGCCTTGCTTTTTCCAACGTGCTGATGGTAGTAGATGACCATGACGTCATATTTCTTCATCACAGACTTGAAGTTCTTAGCATTGAGGTCATGGACACGATCCCGGCCATCATATTCAGGGATTTCCAGACCAATTTCTCCCCAGGAAAATATTCCTAAAGAAAGGAGGACCCCCAAAAATACCCAGCACCAGTTCATGTTTCTTTACTGAAGAAATACACAGAAACTATGCTGTTATTATCATAAAAACAGAGGAAAGAGATGCAGTTTGGGTCCCTGCTGCCCCAAGAAGAGCAGGTCCAACTCCTGGTCCCTCTTTTAAAAAAAAAAGCACACGCCTAGATGAGCAAACAGCTGAGGGGGCAGGACAGAAGGGGTAGGGTTAGCAGTGAACAAGAAAGTGCATGGGCATGATGGCAAGAGAAAGTAAGCCTG